AATTCTTGGAAAATACTGTGAAAATCTGCTTGTGTAGGAAGTGCCAAGCTGATCGCGTGAGTTTGATGGGAGGTGTATCACTGCCTCTGTTGTGCTCTTTCCATGACCTATGCATTGAAATGCTAAGCAATTTAGCTATGTAAGAAAAGTGTGAACAGTTAAATGGACATTTACAATCAGAACTCCAGATTCATTCCTTTTCCTTAAAGGAACAATGTTTACACATGGTACAAATACATTATCAAAAACAAGAATTGGAAAATCTGTGAAGATAGAGCAGTTGGTAAACACGTTGTGTTTAAACACGTTGTGTCTGAGTGCTGTAGCTGAGCCTTCTGTGTTTGCTGTTACATTCTGAATTCTGGGTTGGTGGAGGCTGTGCCTTTTTCCTCAAGTAGGGCAATGCAGAGATGCATTAAACTGGTAATGTGTAGAAGAGGATTAACTCAGTGGCTAACAGCTGTTTCTGATAGAAGAAAATGGAAGCAACCCTGGTCTTTGGTATGGGTGGAGTTGGCACTTCTCATTAAGCATCCCTGTGAGGGGTTTTCTAATCAGAGAGGTAGAGACATCTTCTGTAATGAAGCATGATGTGGAGAAAAGCTCTGCTGGACCTGCTGTTGCTTCATGGAATTGCTCATGTCAGTTGCAAAAAATAGCCTTAATTTAACTGCTTGGTATTTTAATATGTTCATTTCTAGTTTTTTAAACAGTGAGATTTTTTTTCCACTGGACTTCCATATTTTTGATACATGAGACACATTGAGAAGTTCTATTTTTTATGTTTTAATTTCGTGCCTTGATACTTGAGTTCGATGCTACTTTCATAGAGTTTTGTGACAACTGAGAAATCAGGCTGAGATATTTTCTTGAGATATTCTTGGTTTTGCTCTTACCTGCTTTAAGTCTGGAAATGTGACTGCACAGGGCTGGTGTTGTTGATGCCAGTTCCAGCCTGCAGGAACCTGCTTACTTGGCCGTTTTCTTCTGTAGCTGCTTTTTCAGTTAGCATGCACTGAAGAAAGAATCAGATCTGTACAATATCAGATGAGAAGAAAGAAGGACTAATCTGCTTGCAGAGATGGTTGTTGCGGTTACTCTGAAGTGATTGTTTGAAAAGGCTAAGTACTTAATATCCTTATATGGAAACCCTCTGTCCATTTTTCACAGCACTGTCTTTGTGCTAGTTACTATTAAGAAACTGTCAGGCTGCCTGTTACTAATAGTTTACTTCTTACATCCTGCAGGAACAGAGGAAATGACCTCTTTTCCTTCCCCTCTCTTTCTCTCTCAGTACAGGGGGTTACCGCAAACTGAAGTTAGTGGTTCTCTGGCCCTTTGATTGTAGAACAGCACAATAATTAGGACAAGAATCCACTGAGATCCAAAATCATTTTTTTTAATGTATTCACAGTCCAAGACTTGAATTTGTTGGACATTGCTATGTGATAACTGTATCTTTTCTGCTGGATGTACAACAATGTGGGCCATAATTATTTACATAGTTTGACTGCATGTGCTTGTTAATGCAGTTGCGTTTTGATCAACTCCTTTCTTTTTGAAACACTTTATACATGCTGTTTTGCTCATCTCCTGATGACTGAGATGATCCTTTGAAATTACAAGGAAAATAGAACAGCTATGACTTGTTCTGTTCCACACTCCCCAGTTTTACTATGGAGAATTGATAAATTCAAACATTACATTTCTCTGTCCAAAGCATTGCCAGACGCTGAACTTCACATTATTTCAATGTACGAATCAGTTGGATGCAGTGAGATTTCAGGAGTCTGATACTTAGTGTACTATTGCCTATAGATAAGGCACATATGTATGAACAGTGCCTTTTGCTGCTGTGATTTGGTGCTGTAAGATAATGTAAAATTCTGCATTCTCTCCATGTCTAATTTTGGTAGTCTGTGAGCTTTAGGGGTTTTTTGGGTGTGTGTGTGTGTAATGTGATACAGCTTCAGGAGGACAGCTCATGATCGTCTAGGGGCGTCAGTTGACTGAATCATTTTCTAGAAAGCCTCGTGAGGGCAGTGTTAGGAATTGCACAAGGTGTTAAGACTAAACACTAAGGATGTTTTTGAATCATAGCATCATATTTAAGCATTTTGGAAAAAAGTTTTTTTAAGAGTGTGTTCGATATATCCCACTCTTTTTAGTATTACTATGTTCATTTTAGAACTAATAAATCATGCCATAATGATAATTATCAGCAATTATTAGTAGTAAAATTTTACCCATGCTAAATTATTCTTATGGTATCTTTCATAGTCATTAAAAAACATTTTCCCTTGATGTGTATATAAAAAAATTAACCCATTTATAAAAATTTCAGTTGTGCTTGGATTTATGAACTAAAGGAAAAAAAAATCTAGTTGATTGTTCAGTTTTTGTTCAGCTTGAACTTTCCTACTCTTTTGGATTGAAAAATAGAAAAGGAAAAGATTTTTTTTGTTGTTGAAATTAATTTTGTGACCTTACAGATTGAGGTCACTTGACCTTTAGCTGTGTTCATTAAGGTAACATTCTCTGCATGCAGTAATCACTAGGAAATGTATCTTATGTCCTGACTTACTGTTCAGGAAGTCTGTCCAGGGCAGCAGATAAGGATCTCCCAGAAGATTCTGAGGCTCACGACGTGATCGGTTTCAAGTCTAACACCTTCGTGGGTAAGAAGCAGGGACACGCGTCACCTGTTCCTTTTTCAGAGTACCTACCTTGAAAGTGCTCAAGTTCTCCTAAACTAACAGATACATCATGTTTGCCTTAAGCCGACTTTTAATATCAGAACATATCAGTGTGAAACAGAAGTTGAGAGCCTTTGAAGGACCTTAACACATGGTTAATATCTAGCTTAGTGGGACTTTTTTGATTCATGGTATTTTGTTGGCGTTTTGAAAATTCTTGTAAATGATTCAATTTTCATAAATTCCATATGTTCATTAAGCTGTGATACCTTAATATTAGGAGTTAATGAGCAGCAGCTACAAATGCCCAAGCTCAGGAGCAGCTTTATTCAAAGCTTTTATCTTTATTAGATATGGAGTAATTCAATCATAAGACTCAACACCACAGAGAACTGGCTTTGTAAGTTCTTCTTGTGGAATGACTTGTCAATTCATTTTTTTATGAGATGACAGACTAATTTTTGAAACCAGATGTGTCATATGCAGTTGGCAGTTCTCACTCACACCAAAGTCCTCAGGTGTAGTGCTGCAGTAGGTGTATATGTCGGTTTAAAGCAGAAATAGTTACAGAATTTAACGTAAACATTTAAATCACATTTTTTTCCTCCTTTTCCCAGAAAAGGTGTATTTATGTTGACACTTAGTGATAATTTCTGTCCTCTTTTCAACTCTGCATTGTGTAGACTACTACTTTTGTAGACTAAGGTGACAACTGTAGTTTGCAAATACAGAAACAAAACCTGGATAAAGCAATGAATTATACCTGTCAGTTAGGTTGTGGCAAAGGAGGGCACTGTCTTGATGTGTCTGTAACAGGGGTTGGCTGGAAGCCTGCATGAGCCCTTACGTATTGGCCCAAGAAAAATAAACTTGCTTTTTCAAAACTGTACTTGTGGGGTGTTTCCCAGGCTGTTTTGAGGAATGCCTAATTACAGTCAGATTTATTTTATTTTATTTTTTCTTTAGGCAATGGTTGAAGTAGACTTTCATTAGCAAGTAGATTAACTGGGCATGTGGGAAAGTGGTTGGTGGAGGAAAAAAAAATTTCCTTATGGGGTGGCTGGTGCCTATGCAGCTGACAGGATTTGAAAAGTCTGATTCAGGGCAAATAAAGTAGCAAGTGAGCTGAAGACATTTGCTCATTAAAATCCGAGTTGCAATTCTGTTAACTTTAGTTTTTTCTTTAGTCCAAAACTTAATATTTCTATGCTAGGATTTGACTGTCAAACTGCCGTTTTCAGAAACAGTGCAGTATCCTGCGAGAAACACTCGTGCTACCCAACAGGAAAGCATCTGTGCCTGAACACACAGGTGCCTCCATAGGTCATTTCCCCATTTCCCAGGCCAAGAGCTGTGTTGTCAACAATCAAGCTGTGAAGGATCCCTTCCACTTTTTCATTTCCTGACGGTGTTGTATAGCTACTCTAAAAAGAGGACTTCCATACTGCTATGGTTTCTAATGTATAGCACAACTAACACACTTGAATAAAAAGATAAGAGCTTGTCAAGACACCGTTTTTCTGCATGTCTGAACTCAGCTCCAAACACTTGTGAAAGTATTTCCAATCATGGTGAATTTTTGTGTCCGGGGTGGTTTAGCCAAACCCCAGGAATCTGCAACTGTCAGTGTAATGCTAATGTTTAGGGATAGTACTTTGATGTTGCTGAAAATAATGTTATACCCTTCACTTGGAAAGCCCATAGGTATCCTGTTCTCTGAATAATTTTTCTAAACAGTCAAAATTCTTAAATTCCATTTTTTGGACAACTGTTATGTTAAACTCAGTTATTTGTAAACAATCTCTAAGAAAAGTATAATTCATCTTTGAAAGAGTCAGAGAGAAATTGAATATCAGATTTTTATTAGCTAATAGTCAAGCTAAAATGAACTAAAAATTGTAGTTGTTCTATGCATGCTCAGCTTTTTTTTTTTTTTTTTTTTTTTTTTTTTTTTTTTTTTGAATAGGCGTTTTTCCTCCTTTAAAGGTAGGATGGATGAAAGCACTTTAGGGTTATTGAATTTTGATATTTTAAAATTTAATATTTGACAGTCTTAAAGAATAATTTAAAAATGAGATATTCTGTCTTTGATAATACCATGTAATTACTTTTATGTGAATAGGTTCACAGAAGTAAGGAATTTCATTGTGGCTAGTTTATTCTGCAGCATACAGATAAACTTTTAATATGTGGCATTTTATTATTCTAAAATGTGGTTATTACATGCACTTCAGTTCATCAGCTCAAAATACAATTTATATAATCTTCAAGTCAGCTAACACATACACTATGGATTTTATTTTCCAGTGTCTGAAAATTGAAGTGACGAAACATGTCTCAATCAGGTGAAAAAGTAAAGGTAAATAGATATCTTCATAACCAACATTTTGTTTTGCATTTGTTCAGCTTCTGAAAGTACTTTTGTTTTTATTATTTGTTAAAACTGAATAAATAATACATTATTGCTTCAGGTATATTTCTTAAAATAAATTTTTTAGTTAAAAAAAAAACAGCTTGTGTGTAATTCTAGGCATCATTTCTGATGATGTATTCACCTCTTGAAATTTCACTTATCAGATGTTCATTTCTAATACTGTTGCCCACCTAGGTAGGTTTAACAATGTTAGGATAGATGAACTGTCCAACAAGCAGAACATCTTTGTTTGCTGGCATCTTGGTTATCTCTGCATTCCTTTACAGTGTTTCTGTTTTCCTACATACAAGCATGCACATTATTTCTTCTTATAGAAGATGGTGATGCAAATACTCAGTTTTAATGCACACTTTTTTCATCTAGGTAGGAACTTTTTTTTTTTTTTTAAGTAGGATTTACAGCCTTAGATTAATGATAGCATGTTCTTGTAAGCTTGCAGAATTTGTTATCCAAGGAGAAACTTTTGTTTGTAGCCAAAGGTACTTGCTAAATCTCTACTTGCATCAGTCTCCTGAGCAAATGGGCCTGTTTCAAGTTCTGCCTTGCAAAAAAAAAAAAAAATCATTCTCTGTTTTCTCATGTCCTTTGTGTACTTTAGTGCTTTAGGCTATAAGATCAGGTGAACCCTATTTCAACTTTTTGGCCAGGGAAGAGGATCTCATATTTTACTCAGCTTTGTTTCTCTTGTCAGTTCTCTGACTCAGCAGGCTACGTGGGATTTGCTAATCTGCCTAACCAGGTCCACAGGAAGTCTGTAAAGAAGGGCTTTGAATTCACACTAATGGTGGTTGGTATGTGACTTACTTAAATATTTTTGACAAATAAAACAACGAAAAAAGTTTTAATTCACGTTAGCCATATATGTGTTTCTAGTTAAAAATCTTTTGATAAAGAGAAGAAAAACTTTGAACTTCTAAATACACTAATTAATTCTCTTACTGTTTCTTCATGTTTTTTAGGAGGGGATATTTGTAGTGATTAAGGATGATGACTTTGAGCTAACGGGGCATTCTTGTGTTCTGGACTCATCATCAGATGTTAGAAATAGTTGCTTAATCTTTCTTTTGACTCCATTCTCCAAACAAAGACCTTATTGTACAAAGTGAATGTCTTGCTGTTGAAATCGTGATACTATTCTTGTAGTTTCTCCTGTTGTAAACTGACTTACCCTTATGTTATGAGTAAACTGAATTTCTCTTATGTGAAGAGTGTCTGTATGTGCATTTGATGGAAGAAGGTGCAAGGCCGTTTTAAGTGATGCATTGAGTTATACTTTCATTAAGCAATATACTGTTAGGGAATTGCATCAGGAGTCCAAATCAGTATCATCTTTTTGTAACACACTGGAGTTGTGTGATTGAATTTAAAAATAATGTAAAAAGCTCTTTCTGTGCTCTATAGTACTGTTTGGGATTATTTAGTAACAGCATTTAACAAAGTCTGTACAATAAAAAAGTAATTTTTGTAAGTAAAATTTATTTCTTGTATTTCATGATGATAAATACAGATTATTTCTCCACCTTTAGATTAATAACATCTAAAATAACTTGGGCAATTTTTCTAAATGCTGAATCTTATGAGCATTTGAATTAGAATAAAACCTTTTTTTTTCTGAAATAAGTCTTTAGTAATTGCATTTACTGGTTTAACTTTAATATTTTTACATACACCAAAACTTTAAAATTTGTATAACCTGAAATTTTAGGATGATAGAACTTTTCAGGTGACTTTTCAAGGGTTTTTATTATTTTCCTTGTTGCGTGTTTTGTAGAGTCTATGTACCCTAAGTGTAATAATGCCAAGCTGGACTGTTGATTTGTTACTGCTTATTCTTTCTCCCTCCTAACAATGTTTCAGCTTCAATTCCTAGGTAAAGGAAATTAAAAACTGTCCACAGTAGAGTTGCAGCTTTTCACTTCATAAGTTAAAATGAGAAACAAACAAAACCCCTTTGTACATCCCTGAAGTAAATTATCTCTAGATCTAAAGTGCTGTATGACCTTTGCTCTTTTATTATGAAATCTATTACAGTAAACTTAGCATTTTCATGTAACATTTATAAAAACAGTAAGGGCTAGTTTTTCCTGTGTTTTTAAAGCTGTTTAGCTGAACCTTTGATGTTTTTATCTCAAATGCTAGGGTGCATCCTGATGAACAAATTATTTTTCCTCCATTATACGGGTTTGGTAATAGAGGAGTGTGTTTTATTATTTATTTTATTTTTACTTTAAGGGTGTGGAAGAAAAAGGGCATATGTGCTTAATTACTTGAATTGCTTTGTTTGCAGGTGAGTCTGGTTTGGGCAAATCCACTTTAATTAACAGTCTGTTCCTGACCGATCTTTATCCAGAACGTTATATTCCTGGAGCTGCAGGTAAATGCTCTTCCCGTTCCTGCAGCACATATCTCTAACTATTTAATGTTCTTCTGCTGTATACTGTTTCATTCTAATGACAATTTCTCACATTAAGCCCCCCCCTTTTTTTTTTCTTGTCATCTAACCATACTTCAACCCTCCAGATTGTAGTTTCTATGTCATATGGCTTTTAATACACTTCAAGTAGTATTTTCTATTCCTCTCCCCCACATTTCTTTTTCCTGAAGCATTTATAAGAGTAATAACAATTAAAGTGTTTGTTTCATTTAGAGAAAATAGAGAGAACAGTTCAAATTGAAGCTTCTACAGTAGAGATAGAGGAACGAGGGGTCAAACTACGTTTAACAGTAGTTGACACACCAGGATATGGAGATGCCATTAACAGCCAGGACTGGTATGTGTGTAAATACTACTTTGCTTTATCCAATTTTATTTCACATGCCCCTTTGAAATGTTTTGTGGTGGTGGTGGAGGGAATCTTAAAGCAAACAAAGAATCACCGAGCAAAGGAGTGGGAGTTTGATATGGTTCGAGGTTTTCAGTATAACTTAAAGACCTCGAAGGAAGCAAACAGATGATAAAATAAATGCCTACGATGTTAATAAAATGTTTTGTAGTCTTTTCTTGACAGGGTACTGCATTATTTGGAGCATTCTGAAGAATCTAATTACCACACATGTTTTTTCTTTCTGTGGGTTATTGTAGAAGCCCAGCCAAAATGAAGGGGGCAAAGATATTTTGGGATACACTGCATTACTGTGAAACCTGTTAAATGAAAGTTGAAAGTGAAATTGCAGTGGGATTTTTATCTTTATTTTCCTTCTACTTTTCCTATGTTAATAAGTTCAAATAATCGGACCTTTGGCATATTAGCCAGGCACCTCCCTGGCCTGAGTCTGTGCAGTCTTGCTCCTGGCCTCTTGCTTGCTTCCCGCGCTGTTGACTTGAGCTTCCTTCCGCTGGAGGCCAGAGCTCGGCAGCCAGTGCATTGTGTTGCACAGGGCTTTTCCTGTTGATTGTGCTCTAATGCCCTGTGTTTATTCTGGTAAGATGTTTCTTAGAGACTTACGTGTTCGTTTTTTTTTTTTTTTTTCCCCTTTTCTTTCCCTCTGCTTCTTTAGAAGCCTCCTAAAGTCACTGTGTGATGATTCAGATTCAGTAGAACAATTGAGTGTGTTACCTTAGTTTTCTGGTGCAGTCCTTAGACATCAAAGTACATTTTAGGAACGAATAATACTTGATTACTACAATACAAAAATATGCAATCTTTTTCTATACCTCTTTTCTTAACTCACAGAAAAGTATTTGCTCACAAGTGAGTTTGTTTTCAGCCAAGTCTGTTGGTCTTTACAGGATGTTGCATTAACCTGGATGGATAGACTGTTTGTTCCGAACGCTAGTCAAGACCAACCCAGTACAACTGTCTGCCTTCCTTGTTACTCCAGAGGAAGCAGCATGTTCATAAAACTTTCGTTCGTCAGCGTTTGTTGCAGTCACAGTTAACCAGTAGATGGTGCTGGTCTAGGTTTAAGTTTGTATATATATTTTTTTTTTCCATAAGTTGCAACTTATGCAGAATATCTGCTACTTGAGGGTGATGGATTTTATTGACACTGATTTTTGAGGAGAGATATAGAAGGTCATCAGACTGGCACAATGCTTTTAGGAGATGGCAATCATTGCTACTGCCTCAAGGAACCTTTCTTCTTGAGTACATTTTCTACTCATATATGGTTTCTGTTCCTTGGGCTCATTAATTGGTTTACTTTTAAAATTTGAATTTTAAGGATTGCATTTGAGACCAATTTCTATGTACTTTGCATCACAGAAGAATTGCTAATAATGATAATTTGGCAGGAGATTGTCCAATGGATAGCTTGGATTGGAAGAAAAACAATATTAGATTGTGAAATAAGTTGTTAGAGAATATATTTTACTAAATCTATAATGTAGATTATGTTTTGGCTGAGTTCTCTATAGCGGGAGGTTAGAAGCCCACAAAGGGTCTGCCATATGCGAGCACATTGCTATTATGGGAAAAAATATGACCTTAAAGTAACATCTATGAACAGGCAGAAGAGAATGTGCGAGCACATTGCCATTATGGGAAAAAAATATGACCTTAACATCTATGAACAGGCAGAAGAGAATAACAATAAAAAGAAAGAAGAAAGATTTGGTCCCGCCTCTGCGTATGAAGTAGCCAGTAAGAGGATGACTGACAAAACAGGCTACAGGCTAATTAGGTTGTTAGATGTTGCTGATTGTGCCCCTCGTTTCATCCTCGCTGTGGTGTCACAGGTCGCTCTTTGATATGGCTTTCTGGCTGCTGCTAGCTTTCTTTTTTTACTGGCTTAGGTTAGGTTGGGTTTGTGTTCTTTGGCAGCTTGGTAATATTGTTCATTTTCCCCCAATGGGCTTCTCAAATGCGGCGGTTGTGCTGTTTGCTGTTGCGATACAGGATGTGCTATCTCCTAAGCAGCGGCTGCACTGTGGTGTAAGCCAGGTGTTTCCCGGAAGTCAGGAGGTACAGGACACTAACGCCGTATTTATAAGGAAAATCATAACCATTAGTGCTAGAGAACGGCACGTAAACTAATTGCATTGCCAGAGAAATGTGTGATAGTTGCTTTCCCATTGTTTGTGCTTGGTTTCTGTCCTAATATTTATACCTCTTTGGTCTTGTTACCTTTCACCAGCGAAGAGGACAGTATCTAAAGATCAACAGGAATATAAATCATCTCCTTTTTATATATTTAGGTATTAGGATGCTAGTTCTTAAATATTTAAGCAACAGTCAGGCTGAAAAACATTTAGTGAAGCCCTTTTGCGGTATCTTCTCTGTAGTATGACTTATATTTGCAGAATTTACACCATTCTAAATACTTTTACTTATTCTGTCATGGATTTAGGCTTCCCAGATCCGCAGGCTTACTTGACTTTGGAAAATCAAATTCCCTCCAGGGTCTCTTCCATCATCCCTATTAGCCTCTCTCACTATCTTTGTTAGAGCAGTGCACCCCTGCGATGAACTTGGGTACCTGGCATGATTTTTGCAATGATTATGTGTTCATTTTCCTGGTAATTAAGTATTTCGGTATTCTCATTTGTTCCTTCTTTAAGTTTCTTTTATCAAATTTGCATTTTCTCAACAAAGGACACTTTTTTTCATGTAGGCTTTCTGTTTACTTTTTTCCCTCAAGTAGTTTAAGATATGTCCCTGACACATAATTATCTGCCTAATCTTATCTGCATCAGTGTTTTCATTTTCCTTCCTCTGCAATATAAAGTGTCCTTTTATAGTAATGTTGTTCGCAGGTGTCTACGTGCTTTGGAATATGCTAAGCAACTTCTTAGTAATGCGCTCTGTTTTTGTTTCTCTCTTTAATCACTACTATTTATTCTAATTAATCTATGCGATCAAACTTTAGATACCTTTATGTCCTTGCGGTGCACCTTTTAAAATGTCTTGAACTGAGTAGTTTAAAGTGTCTTGAAGTAAGTAGTTTTTCTTTGTCAGTGAAAAAGGATTCTGTAAGATAACAAAAATAACTTCATAAATCTTGCAGTGTTTCAGTATATGACTTGCAAATGTGTTTTGACTCGATTTGGAGAGACTAGAATATCAGAATTTTATGATAATTATAGAAACCTAGCTCTGGATTCCGGGTTGTAAATCCAGGGGATCTTTGGGACATGTCAGCTGGTTTAAAAACAAATCCTCACCCTTCTGAAAAAGAAAGTCCTAAACCCTGTGCTTTGTCACATCTCTCATCAAAGTGCATTTTTCTGTGCTTGTACTTGACCTTTGATCCAATGGATAGAGGAGCACTTGCAGGCAGACATAAGAATGAATAAATACTCCGGGGTTGCCATATCAAAATCTTTTTGCATTATCAAAATATTTTCTTCAGTGAAAGATGCAATGCTGGGATGCTGAGTTTTAAAACAAAGAGATATTAATAAAAGCATAAATAAAAGCTGCCCTTATTGTTTAATAATTTTTATAATTATTTTAAATCTGATTTGGATTTTTCTTTTCTTCCCCCCCATACCACAGCTTCAAAACAATTATCCAGTACATTGACAACCAGTTTGAAAGATACCTTCATGATGAGAGTGGTCTAAACAGGCGCCACATTATAGACAACAGAGTCCATTGCTGCTTTTACTTCATTTCTCCTTTTGGGCATGGGTAAGAAAAAGCACTTGTATTTTGGTGTGCCATATCCTAAGGGTTCATAAGTGTTCATTACTTGAGCTCAAAATCTGGAAGTTTAACTTTCATGTTAGTGAAGTTACTTCCTACTCTATCAGGTAGCTGATGCAATTAAAATAATCTTTTGAGATTAATACTCTCTTCTGTTTTGTCACCTTAGCTGTTAGTATTTAATATTGCTTTGAAGCAGTCGCCATTACACCCAGAAACATAAGAGCTTGTAATACGCACTTTGTCTTAGAGTAGCACTTGCAACTGCAGTGATGAGGCTGATCAACAGGTGCTCTTAGTTGATGCTGGACATGCTGTTTGTGTATATACTTGAAATAAATGATATTTACTGTTAATACAATACTTGGTCTGTTTAAAAAAAATAATAATTTAATATTATTTTTTCTCCCTGTTGGCAGGCTGAAACCATTAGATGTAGAATTCATGAAGGCTCTTCATGGAAAAGTCAACATTGTCCCTGTGATTGCCAAGGCTGACACACTGACACTGAAGGAGAGAGAGAGGCTGAAGAGAAGGGTAGGTTTAACACTTGGTCATCAGAACACTGCAGTCCATATAATGTTATAGCCAAACACAGAGTAAATTGAAGAGTGGTGAATATTAGCCTTAGAACTAACTTTCAGCAAGTGTGAGGTGGAAGACTTCCCTGACATCAGGTATACTTCACCAAATGCTTTAGGAGTCTGTTCACAGCAGGGTTAAATGGAATGAAAGGAATGAAATCTCACCAGGTTCCAGCATTTGGATCTTTTTTTTTTTTTTTTTTTCCTGGACTGCTTTTGCCTGCTGTTGGTGCTGTTGGGTGGCCCCTTGTTGGGTCAAACACAGTATAGTGCACATGCTGCTGGGTGTTGTTATGCAGGATGTGAGCTGAAATGCAGCAGTAGTGCAAGGAAACCAGTTTCCTGAAGTGAGTTTGGAATTTTTTTTTGGTACAGATCTGCAAGTGATCTTAGATTGGGAATTTACAGTGCCTGTATACTTGAAGATGGAGATGAATCCTGGTTTATTTGTCCTATGATGAACAGATTAAAGGCATCCTTTCTCTGCAATATTCTGTTTCTGCCCATTCACATTTAGCTCTTTGTAGTTTAGATCAATGTTATTTTTAACAAAGTCTATTAAAACATTCCGAACTAAGACATGTGGACGCTGCATTGTTGTTCAGACATTGGGTAACTATAAAAAGATCAACAGCTTTTATGCTGTAGCCTGGTGAGAGAGCTGTTAGGAAACAGGTAAGTGGTAGTCCCTATTATTCTTGTCCTCCTGGCAAAGGTCAGTCTAAAACTGAGTTTATACTAGCTGAACTGTATAGTGTGGTTCCAAAGCTTTGAAAGTCTTGCTGCTGTATATTGTTTTAACTCAAAGCATCTTGGCTGACAGCATCTCTAATCAAGAATAAGAATCAAAATCCCACTTTGCTGACGCAGCTTGAAGTTTTATTTTTTTTTAGATGTTTCTGCCATTTGGCCATCAATCTAAAGTAAAATGTTTTTGTTTTGATGCTTTGCACTAAGCAGCAAAATCAGCTTGCAAAGGAAACCCAGCTTGGAGTAATTCCTGTTTTGTCTTTTTGGAATTCAAAGTTATTTTTTAAAACTCTTAAGTGGGAAGAAATGCAGGGCAGTTTCACAAGCTGGGCCATGCAAGGCTGCTAAGGAAACTTGCTCAAAAGAATGACTTCATGAGAGGGGAGCTAATATTTTGACTTTTTTTTTTGAATTTCCCATGGGAAGGCTAATCTTTAGGAACACAGAATCCTCTGAGGCCAATAAAATCGAGATTTGCAGAAGCAAAATGCTGTTTCATTGTTAGGAGTATAAAATACAGTTTGTTTTTATTGCAATTCTTTTTCCTTTCAGGAAAGCACTAGGTTTAACAGCTGTAATATATTATTCTAGCACCCCTTGTTGTTGGCTTTCCCGCTATTGTTTCAGTTGAGTTTATCTCCAGGATCTCAGTCAGGTTACATGTGCTTGCTTGTTTCATGCAGCTACTTACAGGCAACGCGCTGCAGCACTGCCCACCTCTCCCAGCTGTGCATGGTCTCTTACCGTTTGGTGACAGTCTAAATCTCCTCCATTCTGCAAAACAATATTAACATTGATTGATTTAAATGTAATTGAGCTAGCATTAACAAAAACTGTTAATTGTTTATTGGTAAAACTTATTTTCTAATTTCTTCTTTTCTTTAAACAATATAGTTGTAGTTGTTGATACAGGTGGCACTTGGGGTATGTGTGATGTTTATATACCTGGCAGGAAAATATTGTCATGGCAGTAGCTGTGGTTCCTGCATGGTCATTTCTCCTCTAAACGTGTGAGGGATTGTTTTCTTCTGAATGGCTATTTAAACTCTAGTTTAGATCAAATTCTAGTTGGACAAGTGGTTACTGGTTGCCATCACAGCAGGAGCCCTTGCCTGTTGAACAAGTTCAGCACTGCAGTAATGCTGCTGTTTGATGCGTGTCCCTGTTGCGGGGCTGCAGTCACAGTCCCCGCGTTACCTTTTGGAATCCTCATGCAGGAAGCTTGCAGTTAATGATTCTCTGTTAAGACATTCAAGATATCTTTGAAGAGAGAGTTCCTGCACTCTCAACATTCCCTATGTTCTCTCCATCCCTCCACACTTTTTAATGAAAGCAAATCTTGTGTTTTGGGAATTTTTTACTATTTTTTTTTCTTTTTAATATGATGGCAGTAGAAACATTCTCTTAAGATTCAGAAAAAGAATTGACTAGTACCCCATTTTGAAACTGCTAGAGGCCTGGGATTATGCTAGCTGCTTACCCCTGCAGTGATTTCATTAGGAAAAGAATGTATACAGAAATACAGATTAGTTTTTTTGTGTTAATCCCAGACATTAGTAACAATAAAGAAAACCCTGTATGACTGGTTTTCCTGTTAGACTGGAGAGAGCTTTCAAAATCCATTAAGTGGAGCATAAGCTTAGTCTCTTCAGTTCAACTGACAGTAGACATTGACCTTTCAATTTTTGTAGATATCAAATACATGAAAACATATTTTGACATAGACTGCATGGTTTTGATGCTGTACTTAATGAATCTGTTCTCCAAATTCCCTGCCTTTACTTGCTGCTTCTTGTCATCGTTCTTTTGTTTTTGTCAGCTTCTCCCTTCTCCTCTACGTAAATCTGCATTTGGTTAATGACTTGCTGTGATTTTTTTTTTTATTCCATTTATCTTCCACGCTCCTTCCTGCTATTTTGTTTTCGCAAATCTTTAGGCCTCTTTCTGAGAAAAATGCACTATTAAGAACACGTGCAAACTTACGTGAAGAATGTCACAAAAAGTATCTATTAAAAAAAATCTTTCCCTCTGAGTGCACGGGCCAGTGAGCTGCTGATAATGTTTATCTGTTTCTGGTTTTACAGATTGTATCACAAATAGATCTATTAAAAATAGTATAATTCAGAGTTCATCTCAGCAAATTTTGTTCTCTTTTAAAATACTTACTTTCTTCTTTTAAAAAATGTGATTGATTTCCCACTTAGTATTTGTTTCCTACATCTCTGAATTTGCAGGTTGCTGGGTTTTCTACATCAAGCTGTTCTTCCTAGGGTATTTATGTACTTGAGAGGCAAGTCTCTGCTGAATAAAGACAAAATGGAAAAAATACTTACGTTACTTTTCTTGTGCCTCATAGCATGAAATTAATGCAATGTGAGGTAGTTTTGTACATAAGATCAAAGAACTCATGGCAGCTTCTGCTAGCGACTTTTTTTTAGGCATTGTCAAACCAGCTAGAGCAGAAAAATATTCTGAGTTCTCTAGATGTGACACTCATAAATCAATCTATTTACTTCAACCTAATGACCTAATAAAATCAATCTCTCTCTCTCTCTCTTTCTCGCTCTCTCTTTCCCCACACTCAGGTTCTGGATGAGATTTCTGAACATGGTATTAGGATTTACCAGCTCCCTGATGCAGATTCTGATGAAGATGAAGAATTTAAAGAACAAACCAGGGTTCTGAAGGCAAGTTTCGCTCTCTCTTGATTTTAAATAGTTTAAAGTTATAGTATGCTTGCAGATGCTTTGAACTGTTATAATATGTATTGAGAATTTGAGTTTTCTTTAGGAAAATACTCTTGGCTCCGAGTTAGTCTTCTCAGTTCTGGTCCTTGCTTCACTGGAGTTCTGGCTGTAGGGTATCTAGGGTATCTTGTGGCTTTCTTCTCAATCTCCTTTTTTTTTTTTTTTTTTCCCCTCTTCCTCCTTTAAATGTAAGGAGCTGTTCCCCAGGAACTGCGATTTGTTGTGTGCTTCACGTGCAAGCAAAGAGAGAGTGTGTGTGTATGTGCTCAATGGTTCCTATACTAATTAATGATCTTCCTCTTGTTAGACCAGATAATAAAGGTTTTAATGAAGTAATTTCCTCTTTTTATGCTGTGAGACTAGAGGCAGAGATATGAGGAAAATATATCTGAAATTCTCAGTCTCCAGCTACTTAATCTGTATCTGAAGCATGTTTCTGTTGGCTGCGTTCCACGCATGATGTTATGTCAGATGACACATTATGCCCAAACTCCTGCAACAACAGGCGAGTGAGTCGAGTGTTCCTACAGCCCAGCGTCATTTCCCCTTGTGCCATTAAGTCAAGCCGACCCTAACGAAACTGCAGGTGTTAATAGTGAGAGGCTGCAGCGTTCAGAATAGGATTTATGTTTTGGCTGATGTAGAAAGGTTGATGCATTTGTCAATACTTCTTTTTTCTCCTTCTCCATTCTGTTACCTAAATGTGTTTCTGTGCTTTCTTAAAAAGACACAAACAAAAAACCCTAACAGTAACTTGTTTTGCTCTCACAACTAGGCCAGCATCCCCTTTGCTGTTATTGGATCCAATCAACTTATTGAAGTGAAGGGGAAAAAAATCAGAGGCCGTCTGTATCCTTGGGGAGTTGTTGAAGTTGAAAATCCAGAGCACAATGATTTCCTCAAATTGCGCACAATGCTGGTGTGAGTAATGGCAAAACTATCCCATTTCCTTCTGCGGTGGCAGAACTCCGTTATCGAGCCAAGAGAGGACGGAGAGCCTGAACTCCTTAACTCAGGGCTAGCTCTGCCTCTGGTGGGGATCTGCTGCCCCCTCTCTTCCCTTCCCAGTCACCTTGGGTTTGTGCCGCCATCCTCTGAAGTGTCACTATGGAAAATATTCTCAGTACTTTACACTGGCACATACTTGTGACACACGTTAGCTGTTCTGATTTTATAGCTTTACGTATAAACTCAGGTTATTTTCTTAACAGTGCAGCTAGTGGGACAGAGGGGCTTTTAAAATATTGTTTAGAGCGATTAATCCATGAAGGTTTTTTCAGATATGAGGGCGAGTTTCAGACATGAGGGTGACAGAGCCCTGGAACAGGCTGCCCAGAGAGGTTGTGGAGTCTCCTTCTCTGGAGATCTTCAAACCCCCTTGGACACAGTCCTGTGCCACGTGCTCCAGGTGACCCTGCGTGTGCAGGGGTTGGACTAGGTGACCTCCAGAGGTCCCTTCCAACCTTCAGCATTCCATGCTTCTATCCTATGATTCTATGAGATTCCCTGGAGCACAGGGAGCCCCTCCCCTGGCAGGGCAGCCCTGCCCTGCGCTC